TGCTAAGAGCTTGCCATTCTTCCAAGGATAGATGTTGATCCCGTCGGGGCTGTTGTTTGTGTTGTGGGTATTGTTGGCTGCTAGTGGTCGGGGCTCTCCCTCGGCTGGGCATCTAGCTGTAGCAAGGCTTCTCTTTACGATGTCGTTAACGTCACTGTGTCTTTCGTACCAGCCCATAGTTTTGGAACAGTTAAGACTATGTAGACCATATTGCTCGGCTTGCGCATTGCCGTAAATACACGTATATTCTGTGTGAATTGGGACAGCAAGGCAGAGAACCACTGGAATACGAAGGGTTTAGGGTCGAGGCCCTTTGCCGAAATGGGAACTGTTTAGAGGAAGTCCCCAGAGTGATGTGCACTCACAGCTTGAAGACAGGAAGTCTCCCTGTCTAATGTTGCAGCCCTAAGTATGTTGGTAAGCACCTTTCCAGCAATGGGGCCATCCCATCTTGACTGTTTGTAGGCCAGTGCTGCACTAGGTTTTGGTGCTGGAGCAGCAAGAGTCTCCCAGTCAGTGATGGCACTGGCGTAGCTAAGGTTCTGTATTTCTGCTGAGTCACTGAAGTTATCCGGAAGAATTTGTTTTATTAACTCGTTTGATGCTATGGAAGAGGACAGGAAAGGTATTGTCCAGTGTGGGTAGATTGGTAAAGCACTGCGCACCTTGTTCAGAGGTTCGTAGGTTCGAGTCTCTTTCAGCCAGAGATCAGTGTTTGTGTATATTTCGCCTGCTCTTGCGAATTCCTTGCATTATTATCACTAGTAAGGCTGATGCATGCAGGGGATGAGATGAAAAGCTGTAAGCCTTCACCCTGAAAGCTGGCTGCCTTGGATCAAAGTCTAGCGCAAGCTGGACTCCAAGGTATTGTCCAGTGTGGGTAGATTGGTAAAGCACTGCGTACCTTGTTCCAAGGTTCGTAGGTTCGAGTCTCCTTCAGCCAGAGATCAGAGTTTGTGTATATTTCGCCTGCTCTTGCGAATTTCTTGCATTGTTAATATCTTTAGTAAGGCTGATGCATGCAGGGGATGAGATGAAAAGCTGTAAGCCTTCTCCCTGAAAGCTGGATGCCTTGGATCAAAGTCTAGCGCAAGCTGGACTCCAAGGTATTGTCCAGTGTGGATAGATTGGTAAAGCACTGCGTACCTTGTTCCAAGGTTCGTAGGTTCGAGTCTCCTTCAGCTAGAGATCAGTATTTGTTATATATATATATATATATATATATATATATATATATATATATATATATAATAGTATGTATATATATAGTTATTATGTATATATAGTTATATATATTTCGTGTAAGTGTGTTTGTGCTCGTGTATGTGTATGTGCGTGACTTAGCTCAATGTCTGCTTCCTACAATGATTCCAGGGTGTGAAACGAGGATGTTGAGTGCAGTAATGCCATTAAACTCAAGGTAACTCGTAATAATACATAACACATGAGACATAGGAGCCAATAATATATACTTGAGTTATATGCCAGAGTAACAGCAGCAATACAATATGAATTACGGATTTTCAACGATAATTTACAGGAGCATATTGGTGAGAGAACGGAGGAACTCATAACAAGGAAATAATTCAATGAATTATACATTACACAAAAAGGCCAAGAAAAATATTCATATAACAAATATTTATAAATCTAGATTCTAGAGGCTGAGAAAGCGAGAAATAACTCAATAATCTTAAAGAAACCAAGACTTTTCAACACTCCCTTACAGAAAATTTTATTTTCGTTTTTATATAATAAAACCCGGGTGACCAGACCTGTGGGATACATAGCTATTTCTGTATGCTAGTTCCTATAGTTTATGATGGTGATGATTGTGACCAAAATGAGGATTTACGTGTTTGCGATAACGATGGCGAATATGAACATAGTATTTATTATGAGTATTATTATTATTATTATTATTATTATTATTATTATTATTATTAAATATTATTATTTTTGTTATTGTCAGTTGCAACAGTAGTGTTAAATTGCTATTCTCGTTATTGAGAACTGTATCATTATCTCTGCAGCTATATCACAACTGCACGTAATTTACATGAAAGAAATATATAATATGAGAATGAGTGTTCATGGATCAGCACACACAGCTCCTGGACACCACCAGACTCACTCAGATTACTGAACACGTAACCGTGTGTCTGGAAGCCATCATCTCTCAGAGTATCTTAAAGTCTCATAGTAGCATCAAGGATTTCATGAAATGTTAAAAATATTATAGATCAGTATTAAGATTTCGTTTCTAATCCATACATTGGAGATAACGAGACCAAGTTAAGGACCATTAGCCAATTTTCTCTTACTTTTGGGTTGTATATTTTTAGTGTCACGGTAATATATTATTTATTCATCTTAACACTGTTAAATTCATTGTTTACTGATAGTGCGTTCTCACAGCCACATGGATTTGCTTTTATCCCCTTTCAAGGCTAGACGTATGGCTAAGTTTCCTTAAATTTGCTTTTCATATTCACTTTAAGGAAATTGTTGCATTGAAGACGACTATTGTGGGCTTCAGTAAGCCACACTGCAGGATTTTCTTTGATTATCCTTTATTACTAGCCGTCTGGGATGAAAAATCCCAAGAAAATCATTGTCAAGAGAATCCCGCATATACTGATTTGGTGAGTACCCGAAATCAGGCAGTCGTATTCTCCAGAGAGTACACCAGTAGGTGAATAATTCAGAGCGACAGCAGGAGCAGGGACGGGCTGCTCTTTGCAGACGACCACAACAAATGTCACAGCGACGGGACGAGCCAATCAATATGTGGGGAGGATTTTTTTTATTTTAGCCCCAGCCAAGTACGGAGTACAGGTCCTTCCTTGCTAGGCAACTGTGACTTCCCTTACGCATCACGTCTGTTATTGTGCAGTCACGGATGCTGAGCGGTTGTTGCTCTTACTGTTGTTGCTGCTACGTACGCTGCTTTCTCTGTTCTTGCTGTTCTTCCTGTTGTTGCTACGGACGCTACTTTGTCTGTTCTTGATACTTTTCCTGTTTCTAATGCCGTTTTTTATGACATTGTTTTTACTATCTCTGTTACTGCTTCTTATTGTTTATGCTGACACTGATGCTTAGCCGCTCTTTCTTTTCTCCTGACATTTCTTACTCTTTACTGCTGCTGTTTTATCTGTAAGTGCAGTTACTGACAGTGACTGCACATTTTCCTTCCTCTCTTATCGATTTCGCTTCCGTTGTTGCTGATATTGATGCTTCTTCATCTGCTACTGTTATTACTTTGTTACTTTTTGTAATGGATGTGTGTTTTCTGTAGTTATAATCTTAAGTTCCCCTGAAGAAAGATACTGCTGTCAACAAGATGAATTACAGTCACTCGGTTTCAGCATGTCTACATCTCCTCTGTGACATTCCGCCGGAAGAGGCCTAGTTTGGAACTAGGCCGCAGGGATGATGACCCCGGGAATTTTCAAGTAACCTTCGGCTCGATCCTCCATACGCCAAATTGCTTTCCGCTCCCTGATCACTTAATTTGTTGGTGCTAGCTCTTCTCTTACTTTTACTTAGTGTAAACAGATCTCCACTGTTATAACTTTTTTAGTCAAAGCAATTTCAGACCATTTTCCTGACCTGTTATATGACTGAGTAATTTTACGTCTTCCTCCAAAAGGATGATTTCTGGTGAGTATAATAAAACCATCAAGTCACTAGCCACTTACAAGCACCCATTAACCTCTATTCGCCACTAAATAACATATTTTCTGGCATATAAGTTGCACCTTTTTATTTTCCCACAAAAAAATCTTGGGAAAACACCCTGCGGTAGGGATCAAGGGTAGGCTTTTGGTTACGCTTTAGCCAAAAGTAAGAGGGTAATTAGTCTTTGAATGTAATAATTGAGTTACCGCTATAATACTTCTGTTGTGCGCCTTATATGCCGGAAAAACCGGTTACCATCACCAGCCAACTCCTCGCGACTACAAACTACCACCTACTAACCATTACCTACTATACACTAAGCACCATCAACCACCCAATAACCCCCACTACAACCCACTAGCCTCCTCCCTACCAACCACTTAACCAACCTCATCATCCATGTTACTTATATTTTCAAAATAATTTCTGCAGAACAGCTCATGTCTCTAACCCATCTACTACACTCAGATCTATGCTAACTTCCTACCACCACACTCAGATCTGCATCACCTTACATCACCATACTCAGATGGTGGTGTAAGGTGACTCGATGGTATCAAATGGTAGCCTTTTGCCCATTCTGTCGTAAAGACTTTCTCTTCTACAAATCACCAGAGAACCCCTACATACCTGTGTCATGGGGGTGTTTTTCTTCTTCAGGAAAATGTCTCCTGATGTGCGTCTTTGTCATACAATCCCTGCGGCTAAACAGCCCCGGGCGTTATCCCAATGTTAAAAATAAAAGCCCTCCTTCAGTGCCTGCACTGAAGGAGGTCTTACAGGTATAAAACTGCACTTTGCAGTTTTATAACTGTAGTGTAAGCCCACCTCTGGCAAAACAGTGATGGAGTGAATGAAGGTGATAATACAAAAAATAAAATATGTATCTTGTATCAGTAGATCGCTGAATCCTATCGTCCTTTCACAGGATCACACCAGTGGTGGAGAGAGTAACAATATGCATTCACGAAGGAAAATTAAATATATTAGGTAAACAGACACAGATGCAACTAATGTGACATTTTATTGTGGCAACCTTTCACCTTCCAAGAGCTTTGTCAAACCGTTACGTAACGACTTCTCAGTTACCTAACATTTTGTTGGTAATTCTAGTATTATTACTTAATTAAACGTGACTTACATGTTTATATAATTTGTGATTATATATATATATATATATATATATATATATATATATATATATATATATTATATATATATATATATAATATATTATATATATATTTACATCCCACTACACTTGGTTATATCTGGCCCCTTATATATGAGTGTGAGGGATTGTGTCTCACGAGGAAGCCTGCATCTCTTTGGTGCTTCTCGGGAAACTGCAGTTCGTTCCTGACCTGGGCATCTCCTGTTCCCAGATGTCCTTAACAATACAATTAGGGCAGCTGGCCCCTTCAGGCCAGCTGGGAATATGCAGCTCGCAGCTGCCTTCATCCGCAGTACCTACTGCAGCTCCACTCACAGCTCACTCCACGTGGGGCTCCTCTTACAGCCCACACTCTCTACAGAAGCAGTAATCTTGCGGGGATAAAATTTTGTCCTTAAGCCACAACTGTTCAACATGTGTCCTGCCTTCTGGGTGCGCACCAACCACGAGACCCGTTGATACTTGGAAATCACATCAGTTTATCAGCTTTCCGTACTTCCATTTTATTTTATTTATGTACATATTCCTTAAACTTGTTTTGAAAAATTTGGATAGTAGACTTTTTAAGACTTCTGGGGTCTTCTTTGTGTCAGGCCACGAACCTTAAAAACACTTTTTCATAAAAAAACTGATTTTCAAATGTTGAGTGACTAAGGTTCTGTTACATAGTAGATACTAGATACTAGTATGGTATGCTGTTTTCGTGTAGGAAACAGGAAACACATGCCTGATCGATCACCCATCCGATTGCTGGATATACACAATGCAGCTTAACCTCACTAATCAAACGAACAACCTACACATATTCCACATTATCGTATCAATATGCTGTATAGCCCTTACAGAATGTGAAGCAAAGTAAATATGTAAAAAGTAAATATCACATGATTTTGAGCGAAAATATTTTTTTGAAAATGAAAATAAGCTGGACTTACTGATTCTGCACAAGTCCCATACCTGTGGAAAAAACAGAGAGATGTTATTAGCATTCACACATATTGAGCAAATATTTTCTTACTGTAAGTTCTTATATATGATACCCAGTAATAAATCTGTTTCTATATATGCAAATAAGAAATTTTAAGAAATCAGCAAGACACCAAGTTGAATCAGTCCTTGCATACACACCAAGGTTAGTACCCAAACACACAAAGAAGAGGTACGAAAAAGCTCTTGGAGTAGGGAGAGAGTCTATCTTGTAACGACCAGTGAAACGGCGGTGCCAGGAGTTGCGACTCGACCCCTGCAACCACAAATAGGTGAGTGCAAATGAGTGCGCACACACACACACACACACACACACACACACACACACACAAGGGATATGTCCTACGAGAAGAGGTTAAGGGAAATCGACCTGACGACACTAGAAGACAGGAGAGATAGGGGGAATATGATAAAGAAATATAAAATACTGAGAGGTATAGAGAAGGTGGACAGAGACAGGATGTTCCAGAGATGGGACAAGGGGTCACAGTTGGAAGTTGAAGACTCAGATGAATCACAGGGATGAGGAGAGTTAATAAAGAAGATGTGAAGGTAGAAAATCGATTCTCTGTTCTCCAAGACGAGTGTACTTCAGTGGTTAGTGAGGTTGAAGGTACCACTGATTCCCTGCTAATCAAGGTAAGAATATTTTAATAGTAGGAGATTCTCAGGTAAGATATATGGACCGTGCATTTTGTAACAGAGACAGAAAGGTCAGACAGAGAGTGTGCCTTCCTGGAGCTGGTGTTAGTGACATAGTCAGCAGGTTGGATAATATTATGTCAGGTAATGGGAACAAGCCCATTATCTGTCTTAGTGCTGGGGGTAATGACATTGGGAAGGGCAGGAGAGAGAAGCTGCTGGATAAGTACAGGTTAGCCCTAGAAGTAGTTAGGTCTAAGGGAGGGATCCCGATCATATGAAGCATCTTGCCTAGAAAGGGAGTGGGCAATGAATGGATGTCTAGGGCAATTGGTATAAATTACTGGCTAGACAGGTACTGCAAGGAACTTGCAATCCCATTCATTGATAACGGGACCTATTCTTTGGCAAACGTGATATGTACGCAAGGGATGGGGCTCATCTCTCTGGTGATGGAGTGGTTGCATTAGCCAATTCAATTGAGAGGGTAATTGATGACTTGTCTAGGAATTTAAAATGATAGATTACAGAGGTATGGGTGTTTATGGGAAACAATCAGGCTGCAGCATTAGGATTAAAAACAGCAGTTATTACCGGGATACCTCAGAGATATGTTTAAAAGACAATATTCAAAATAAAGTTGCTAGTAACAGCAAATCAATTGATCAACAAAGAGAGATTGTAGAGGGCAACGAGTGACTAGCTCCCTTAAGGTTTACTGTACAAATAGTAGGAGTCTAAGAAATAAGATAGATGAGCTAAGATTACTTGCAAGTGTAGGTAATATAGATATTATTGGTATAACAGAGACCTGGTTCAACCTGAAAGATAGAGAAATGCCTTCTGAATGCAACATACAGGGTTATAAACTATTCCACACTGATAGGGTTATCAGGAAGGGTGGTGGAATGGCGATGTACGTCAGAGAAAATTTAAATTGTTGTCTTAGACATGATATAAGGTTAGAAACATTGAACACAGAATCTGTTTGGCTACAATTTCTCGAGGGACGTGACAAATTAATTTTAGGTGTGATTTATAGGCTCCCAAACCTTGATAGGGAGTGCAGTAAGCTGTTATGGGACGGAATTCATAAGGAATCTAGATATGAAAATGTTGTAATAATGGGAGATTTTAACTTTAGACAAATTGATTGGAGCAATATGACAGGAAATCTTGAGTCTAGTGACTTTCTTGATACGGTTCAGGATTGCTTTTTAGAACAGGTTGTGACAGAACCAACTAGAAGAAACAATCTATTTGACTTGGTTCTTGCCAACAAAGATTCACTAATTAATAATCTAGAGGTTAATGATGAGCTTGGGGAAAGTGATCACAAATCACTTAGTTTCAATATATCATGGAATTACCCAGATAACACACACACACATTGCATCTTCTTGGACTGCAAGAAGGCCTATGACACAGTTCCTCACAAGAGATTAGTGCAGAAGCTAAAGGATCAGGCGCATATAACGAGAAGGGCACTGCAGTGGATCAGAGAATACCTGACAGGGAGACAACAACGAGTCATGGTAAGCAATGAGGTATCACAGTGGGCACATGTGACGAGCGGGGTCCCACAGGGGTCGGTCCTAGGACCAGTGCTATTTTTGGTATATGTGAACGACATGATGGAAGGGTTAGACTCAGAAGTGTCCCTGTTCGCAGACGATGTGAAGTTAATTAGGAGAATTAAATCAGATGAGGGTCAGGCAGGACTTCAAAAAGGCCTGGACAGACTGGACACCTGGTCCAGCAACTGGCTTCTCGAATTTAATCCCGCCAAATGCAAAGTCATGAAGATAGGGGAAGGGCACAGACGACCGCAGACGGACTATAGGCTAGGTGGCCAAAGACTGCAAACCTCGCTCAAGGAGAAAGATCTTGGGGTGAGTATAACACCGAGCATATCTCCAGAAGCACACATCAACCAGATAACTGCTGCAGCATATGGGCGCCTGGCAAACCTGAGAACAGTGTTCCGATACCTTAGCAAGGAATCGTTCAAGACACTGTACACCGTGTACGTCAAGCCCATACTAGAGTATGCAGCACCTGTTTGGAGCCCGCACTTGATCAAGCCCCTTAAGAAATTAGAGAAAGTGCAAATGTTTGCGACAAGGTTAGTTCCAGAGCTAAGGGGAATGTCCTGTGAAGATAGGTTAAGGGAAATCGGCCTGACGACACTGGAGGACAGAAGGTTTAGGGGAGACATGATAACGACATATAAAATACTGCCCGAAATAGACAAGGTGGACAAAGACAGGATGTTCCAGGGAGGGGACACAGAAACAAGATGTCACAATTGGAAGTTGAAGACTCAGATGAGTCAATGGGATGTTAGGATGTATTTCTTCAGTCACAGAGTTGTCAGGCAGTGGAATAGCCTAGAAAGTGACGTAGTGGAGGCAGGAACCATACATAGTTTTAAGACGAGGTTTGATAAAGCTCATGGAGCAGGGAGAGAGAGGACCCAGTAGCAACTGGTAAAGAGGCGAGGCCAGGACTAAGATCGACCCCTGCAACCACAAATAGGTGAGTATACACACACACAACACACACACACACACACACACACACACACACACAACACACACACCACACACACACGATACCTCAATAAGGAATCTTTCAAGACTGTACACTGTGTACGTCAGGCCCATACTGGAGTACGCAGCACCAGTTTGGAACCCACGCCTGGTCAAGCGCGTCAAGAAATTAGAGAAAGTGCAAAAGTTTGCAACAAGGCTGGTTCCAGAGCTAAGGGGAATGTCCTACCAAGAAAAGTTAAGGGAAATAGTCCTGACGACACTGGAGGACAGGAAGGTCAGGGGAGACATGATAACGACATACAAAATACTGCGTAGAATAGATAAGGTGGACAGAGACAGGATGTTCCAGAAATGGGACACACAAACAAGGGGTCACAATTGGAAATTGAAGACTCAGATGAGTCGAAGGGATGTTTGGAAATATTTCCTCAGCCACAGAGTTGTTAGGAAGTGGAATAGCCTGGCAAGTGATGTATTGGTGGTGTAGTGGATGTAGTGGAGTGGAGTGGAGTGCTTATGGAGCAGGGAGAGTGAGGACCCAGTAGCGGTCAGTGAAGAGGCGGGGCCAGGAGCTGAGTCTCGACCTCTGCAACCACAAAGAGGTGAGTACAAATAGATGAATGCACACACACACACACACACACACACACAACACAATGCAGAGGCATGGTTACCTGGAGGGATAACCGGAAAGGAAAGCTGACCTGCTTGAGAGAGTTTATAATTAACGTAATTATTGGGAGAGGCGACGACACACGCTCCAACAGAGTGTTGATGACAGTTTGAAAGCTTTCATTTTATTTGACACAATTAAATATAACTGCAATGTGTGGTTGCATCTTTCCAAATGAGACGTGCATTTTGGGGGACAAAAGCTAGTCATGTTTACTTGTCAAATTTTATGGTATTGGAGGTGCTGGGGAAGTGGGGCTGGGGGAGGACGACTAAGAAAGAGGGACTTTGAAACATAAAATACTCAAGGAGGATTTAGAGGTGAGTATAGTTACGAGGATATCGTCTGAGGAGCACACCATTTGAGTGACTTATGTAACAAAGACGGGAGTGGCTATCCTAAGACCTGAGAAACCTAAAGAGTGAATAATACACGGCACAATATACATGTATCAAGACGCAGTTATGTAGCGCAGTCATGGATTCTACACAATGTCAAGCATCTCCAGGATTTTTACAAAAAAAAAAAGAAGTTAAGTTGTGTGAATCACTGCACAAGGAGTAGTAAAGACTCTATCCTCCGTCCACTAAGAGTAAAATAGACGCGCTTTAAGACATATATCCTTTGAAACTATAAAAAAAATGCAGACTCGCAACAAGACTAATCTGGAGAGGCTAATAAAACTGAATCTGATGCCAATAATTGTTAGAAGGTGCTTGGAACACTTGATCAAGACGTAGAAGATACTTAGAAGATTTGATGGGAAGATATGAAAAGATTCCAGGAGCAGTCAGAAACATTTACAAAAGAGCACAGATGATAGTTAAATATTCAGATGAGTCTCAGGGATCTCCGAAAATAATTATCATCCCCAGGCTGGTCAAAAAATGGAATGACTTGAATGAAGAAATTTTAAGATTAGACATAATAGCTTCACCCGTCACAGCCACTTAAAAGGCAGACCCAGGAGCTAAAAATCGAATCCCTAAAGAAAGGTAAATACGCTCACACACACACACACACACACACACACACACACACACACACACACACACACACACACACACACACACACACACACACACACACACACACACACA